TAATCAGAGGAAGGCAAATGAAAAAGTAACACTAAAAATTTTTTTCTTTGATCAAAATGTCACAATGAGGGAGCTTGCCAATATGATAATCATGCACGAATATCCCTTATCAGTGGTTGATCATGTGCAATTCAGAAAGTATTCTTACAGTCTTTAACTTTTGTTTGTTATACCTTTTAGAAATACTATAAAAAGTGATATTTTATAGATTTTCAAAGAGAAAAAGGCAAAAATAATATCAAAGTTGAAAGCTAATGAATGGAGAATTACTATCACAACCAATATGTGAAACATGACTGTCGTTGCTTACTACATCGATAAACAATGAAACTTACAAAAACGCATCATCAAGTATATTTTATTAAATTATCTTATTTTGATAGTGTTTGTTTTTTATTAAGTAATTATTATTATTGAATTAATTATTAAATTAGAGTAAATAATTGATTGTTTAATTAGGTTTGAATATGTGCCAACTCCACATACAAAAAAGGTCATTGCTTCAAGTTTGATGAAATCTTTCTTAGATTGGAATATTGATAGAAAACTTTCATCTATTACAGTGAATAATTGTATGTGAATGATGGTGTTATTGACTTGTTAATTGATATAATTGGTTGCGATACACTTTTGCTTAATAATATTTTTTTTCATAGACGTTCTTGTGCATACATCTTGCATTTGATTGTGAAAGATGGATTGAGTGTGATTGGAGATGAAATTGAAAGAATTCATGATAATGTCTTTTTTTGAGATGCTACACCAAAGAGGTAGAAAATTTTGAAGAGGTAGCACGTTAATTGGATATTCCAACTTTAAAAAAGTTATGTGTTGATGTCAAAACACAATGGAACTCTACTTACTTGATGCTTTGAATAGCTTTGTTTCATAAAGATGTTTTTCTCGTTATGTGCAATTACATGGTGATCCTTTGTACAAATATTTGCCAACTGAAAATGATTAGATCATTGCAACCGAGATTTGTGAGAAGTTAAAATTATTTTATGATATCATTGAAGGGTTTTCTAACACAAAGTATGCTACTGTAAATTTTTATTTATTTAATATTTACAAAATCAGATTGACATTGAATGAATAGATTATGCATACCAATAGAATTATTTCATGTATGACAGTGAGCATGTTAGGCAAATTTGAAAAATATTAAAATGATGTGCATGGTATAATGGGTGTTGTCACAATTTTAGATCCAAAGTACAAAACAGAGTTGTTGGAATATTACTTTGAAAATATTTATGAAGAAAATGTTGAATTTGAAATTGAAAGGATTGGTCAAATATGTTGGGATTTGGTTAATGAGTATGATGAAAAATTGGCTTTGGAAAAGAAAAAGACTTTTTATGTCAAGCTTTTCATCTTTAGATGGTGTTGGTATTACTGAATTGGAAATTTGAGAGACTATGAAATTTTGTTTCAAGAAAAAAAAAGAAGAAATCAAAAGTGAAATCAGAGTTAGATTGTTACTTGGATAAATAAGTCATACCAAGAAAATGGGATTTTGATATATTGAATTGGTAGAAACTAATTGGACCTCAATTTTCAACCTTACAACTTATTATTAGAGATATTTATGCCATACTAGTTTCTACTGTTGCTTCAGAGTCTACTTTTAGTACTGGAAGGAGGTTGGTGAGTGCACAATGTAATAGACTTCATCCATCAATTATAAAAGCTTTAATTGTTGTCAAAATTGGTTATAGGCTGAAGAAGAAAGTACAATAATGCATATTATGCAATTTTTATTTTTTATTTTAGCATATTGTTAGTTTTTATATTTTGTTGTTATATATTATTTGTTAATATTTTATTGTTTCATTTATAGGGTTAATTTCATTAGGAGAAAAGTTTTTCTACGAAGATGTTGATAAGAGTGAGATTGAAGAAAAGATAACTAGTTTGGTAATTAATATTATCTTTTTTAACTAATTCATTTTTTATATTATTGTTTTTAAATATATTATTTTATGAGATTTATTTATTCATCTTATTGTTTTATTTTATAGGACTAGTGTGGTTAGAGCAGAATGAGGATATGGAGCTTAGAGATGATGAAATGATTTGTTGTGGTCTTATAAGATTTTTACCATGGTGGATGAAAGGATGTTTAAACAATTTAACTTTTTATTTTGATGGTTTAAGCTTTTGATGTTTATCTTGTATCATGTGCTATGTTTAAATTTTAGTTATTAACTTATGCTTGTTTAATGTTTAAATTTTAGTTTACTAAGTTTTATATATTTCATAATTCTATCATCTATGGTGAGAATTTGTGAGTTTTAATTTACTAAGTTTTATGTATTTTATAATTTCATTATTTATGGTGAAAATTTGTGAGATTTTACTAGATAAAAAAAGTTGTATGTACTAAGTTTGAATTTGTGAGTGATTTAGTTAAATTTGTTAATGCTTGTAATATATTTAGACTATGATTTATTAAATTTTCAATAAATTTAAATTAACAATAGATTAAATTTGGGTCAGATTTAGGGTAATAATATGCTTAACGGGTCGAGTTTTTCAACTAAAACCTCCGAGTGGGTGCGGGTTGAGTATTGGGTAAAACTATTGAAGCTTCGGGTCGAAGGCGGGGGAAGCAAAAAATCAACTTACCCCACCCCGCCCCATTGCCAACTTTAGTCGTACACTTTTACATAAATTTTTATTTTGATTGGACAATTGTAGCATTGTTATAAAAAGAATTTTAAGTGATATGTTGTTGTTGGCATGGTACCCCAATTGAACTTTTTTATTTTTTATATTTTTTAAGTAGATAAATTTTGTAACAAAATATGTTAATTGATAGATATATTAAAACATCTTTATCTGATGAGTTTTGAGTTATCCGGATGTGATAAAGGGATGATTTTTTAAATCGAGATCGAGTTGAAATGGGTTAATTTTTTTAAGAAAATAAGATCGGATAGGAAGTGTGTCTAAAGAATCTACCTTAACCCATTTAGGGATATATCTAAGTATATATTTTATTATTAATTTATTTTTATATTATATATATGTATTACATTAATAAAGATATTATTTGATACCTCAACTAAAAAGTTAATATTTTAAATTTAATAGAAATGTCCATGTGGTACCTTTTATTCATTTTCATTTTTTTTGATTTGTCTTTTTTTATTTTAGGTTTTGTTTTTATTAGATAAAATTTATGAGAATATAAAACCAATGGAAATATTCACGTCACTTCATTTAATTTTCTTTTATCATTCGTCTTTCATATTTTTATGTAGATAAATTTTACAATAAAAATTAGTTGATAAAGATATTAAAACAAAAAGTTTTAACCCACAATAACACATTGCTATTCATATAATATATCTAATTTTTGTAAGTCCAATTAATATTTGAATTGATACCTTTCTAGGTTGATTTAAACTCCAATTAATATTCAAATCAATATTTTTTCTGAATCGGTTTCTCAATCATTTGAATCAATGCTTTTTCGGGTTTGTTCTCAATCATTTAGGTCCTAATTAGATTGCTTTTCAAGCAAAAGGCGTTGATCTTTACATTGGGTCAATTCAACCGATTAAACCCTAGCAAATAGCAACTAGGATTTATATACCGTAGCAAATAGCAACCAGAGAGCTCTCTTTTCAATTCCTTCTTTTTCTCTTTTATGATTCGAAATCCAATCCTAACCTAAAGTATATATAAATATCATATGATTTGAAACATAACATCAAATACTTAACTACTTTATGATTTATTTTATTATTTTTTACTCAAAACTGTTACTTTTTTCATTTCTTTCCAATATTTTTTTTTTCTTCTTCTTCATTAATTCATCATTTTTCTCTCTAAAACCTCATAGGTTCTCCATTTTTTTTTCTATCTTTCCAACTTCTATTGAAAAATTCAGCAACTCATTAGAAAATTCGAATAATTCAAAACTCAAATATTAGAAATTTCAAGATCCAATTCAACAATAACCCAAAATAACTAAGTTTGATGGAAATACAATAGCAAGGCAATTGAGCAACTTACTACTACTTCTTGATTTTTAGAGTTTATGGTAATAAAATTGGAATTCATTTTTCTTGATTTAGCTTTCTTTTTTAATTGAAAATTTATCAATTGATTAGGTTTAATTAAAAAAAGAAACTTTGAGTTTTTAATTTGAACAACATAAAAATGAAAAAAAAAAATTATTAGCCATTATCGAATTTGCAAAATGAAAGAAAAGGAAGTGAAAAAAAGTTAAGAAAAAAAGATTTTACTCAATTTGCTTGGCATGATGGTTTTTTTTCTCGTATCTTATAAAAAATTTCATGAGTACGTAGGAGATAGATGAGTAGTGACTTGGTGGGTAAAATTAGGAGATGAAAGAAAGAAAACCTAAGGAGATGATGATGAATGGTGGGTTTGTGTCATGACTCTAAGAGAAAAAGGGAAAGAAGATTTGATGTAATGACTAACGCTAATAAAAAAGAAAAAAAAAACAAAAAGGGTTAAGTGTTATTTTTTAAACATTAAGAGGTAAATTTATTTTGCCTTTAACCATAAGATATTTATATATAATTTATCCTAAAATTTTTGTATCATATCTAAGTATATATTTTATTATTAATTTATTTTTATATTTATATATATATGTCTTATATTAATAAAATTATTATTTGATACTTCAATTTAACACCTTTTTTTCTTTTTTTTTTTTGCTTTTATCTTTTGTATTTTTTCAATTGTATATTTTATTTTTATTAAATAAATTTTGTAAAAATATAAAACTTGTCACTTCATTTGATTTTCTTTTATCTTTTATCTTTTATTTTTTTAAGTAAATAAGTATTACAATAAAATATTTTAACCTGCAGTTAAAACAAAAAATTTTAACCCGTAATAACGCAGGTCGGTTCATTTCTCAATGGTTCGGATCCAAGATCCAAATTGGATTGCTTTCCAAGAAAAAGGCATGGGTCCACGCGTTGGTTTAAATTTCAACCGTTTAAACCCTAGCAAATAGAAGCCAGGGTTTATGTTGTAGCGCTTGTGGCTGTCTCTGGGGGCTCTCTTTTCAATCCCTTCTTCCTCTCCTATATGATTCGAAATCCAATCCTAACTCAGTGTTAATCATCCCATTAACTTAAAATTTTTGTACTGTTTTTAACCCTAAACGCCATGGCTGCTTCTAGATTATCCTCTTGCGTAGCATTAGCCGCCACCGCCGCTGCTGCTACCGCCTCCCCGCTCCAGAACCGTGCGTACGCCGATTCGCCATTTAGATTCTCTCCGTTCTCCTCATCCTCTTCTTCTACTCCCTCGGGTTCGCAGACGGAGCAATCATCACATGCGAAAGCGGATGCTAAAGCCGAGGCTGAGGAGCCTAAAACAGCAGGGTTCGATCCAGAGGCTCTGGAAAGAGGCGCTAAAGCCCTTCGCGAGATTAACAACTCTCCTAATGCCAAACAGGTATGATCTACTTGTAATTGCCTTTTATTTTTTTATTTTTTTTAGAAAATAATGAAAGAAAAATAGATTTTGGAAGTTCGAATATTTATCGCCTGGTTTAGTCAATTTGCAAAAACAAATAAATTGAAAACAAAACATGTAATTGACCATGGATTCACTGGATATTCGAGTGTTCTAGAATCAATTGAATTGCTGATATGAAAATTTGCTTTTGTTTTGGTTCTTCAGGTTTTTGATCTAATGAGAAAGCAGGAACAAACTCGGCTAACAGAGTTGGCAGCTGAGAAAGCACATTATGAAGCAATTCAATCGCAGGCTGATATCGTGAGTGATAAGCTAACTGTTGCTTGGTTTTGATTGGCTTACTCGCAGTCTATAGTTCTATTCATTTTGTTTGAGTTACTAGTTAGCGATGCACCTTGTACAAATACTTGTATGATTTTAACTTATACTATGATCATCAAATTGGCAGGACAGGCAACGGAAGTTGGCTGAAGAGCAACGGAATCTAATGCAACAACAAGCTCAGGCAAAAGCACAAATGCTGAGATACGAAGATGAGTTGGCCAGAAAAAGAATGCAGGTGGAAAGAGCTGCTTTTACTATTTGATCATTTTACTCTATGTTAAATCTACAAAAAAGAGTCGGAACTGGGGCTCAATAAGTTCTAGTCTTTGAAGCAGAAATTAGATTATTATCTACTACTAGAAAAAGTCACTAACATGCCTTTGGCATTGGTTGGTAATTTTTAAAAAAGGATATCATCTTTTAAGCATGCTAACTTAATTATCAACTATCTTTTATTGAATACATCTGCAGTAAAACTTCGCTCAGATTGGCTTAAGAAATATTATATCTTTTCATATGGTGTAAATGACTGATGTAACAGACTTTGGTTTTGACTTTTCATTTAGAAGTTCCTCTTCTTTCCCCTTTTAAGCATCAAATTGGATATAACTCTTCTATCAAACTGTTCTGTTTACCATCTTATCAATCTTTGCAGACAGATCATGAAGCTCAGAGGAGACATAATGTTGAATTGGTTAAGATGCAAGAAGAGTCATCTATTAGAAAAGAACAAGCAAGACGAGCAACTGAAGAGCAGATACAAGCTCAGCAACGCCAGACAGAGAAAGAGAGGGCTGAAATAGAACGCGAAACTATAAGAGTTAAGGCGATGGCTGAGGCAGAGGGACGTGCTCATGAGGCAAAATTGACAGAGGATCATAAAAGACGGATGCTAATAGAGAGGGTGAATGGAGAAAGAGAGAAATGGCTCGCTGCAATTAATACAACTTTCAGTCACATAGAAGGTACATTATGTTTTTGGTATTCTTGGTCCTACTGGCATCTGTCTTCTATCTTTATGACTATTAAATTCAATTGGTCATCCTTGTATGGTAATACTTCCTTGAATGATATTTACAGGGGGATTTAGAACTTTGCTGACTGATAGAAATAAGCTGCTTATGACTATTGGAGGAGCTACCGCATTAGCTGCTGGAGTTTATACAACAAGGTATTTGTGCTTTGTTTTTTTGTTGTTACCCTTAGCCAAAGTTTGGTTAAATGGATTAAACTATTTAACAATTTTCCTCTATTCCCTTGTTTCCCCCAAGCTTTACTGTTGTTCTGCCATCATGTCCGCATTCTCTTAAACAAAAAATGCTAGTTTGCTTTATTGCAATTTTGGACATGGAAAGTTCATTTCAAATGCTTGAGATACAGGGAGGTAGTTTTTGCATAGTCCTAACTTGCATAGTCCGATCGAGATGTGACCATCTGGGTTGTATGGATGCTTTTTGGGAATGCGTAGTTGTGGTGGATGTTAGCATTATGTTGACTGCTTTAAAAAATGTTAGAAACACATCTGAACGTTGCATTGGCGAAAACACTGAATCTGCCTGATGATGAAGCAGTACTGCCACAGCTGACAGCGCCTTGAACTCTGCCATCACCAGCTTCTCTTTGGGCTGGCTACATTGTGTTGTTGGCATGTTGATTCACTGATTTATAGGAAGTTGAACATTTTATACCCTCAATAGACTCTCATATGTTTATGTCACAAAGACATTCTAACTTTAATCTACAGACTTTATTCTCTCAGTACACTGTGTTGTTGACATGTTAAGCTTGCCCTTTCCACTGATTTATAGGAAAGCTGAACAGTTTTATACGCTCAATTGACTCTCATATCTATTTGTTGCAGAGACATTCTAACTTTAATCTACAGAATTTATTCTATTAAAGGTTAAACTTAACTGATAGCAAGTTCTTTAATCCAGTGCTTGTTCAAGACCTTTTGAAAACTGAACACTGTATTGTGTTGACAGAGAAGGAGCTAGAGTCACATGGGGTTATATTAATAGGATACTGGGACAGCCATCACTGATTCGAGAATCATCCATTGCTAAATTTCCGTGTTCTGGCATAATGTCTCAAGCAAGGAACCGATTTTTAAAGTATAGTACAGCTGCACCTTTGGAAAGCAAAAGGGGTCTTCAGAATGTTGTTCTCCACCCCTCGTTGAAAAGGAGAATAGAGCATCTTGCTAGGGCTACAGCAAACACCAAGACTCATCAGGCGCCTTTCAGAAACATGCTATTTTATGGGCCTCCGGGTACTGGTAAAACATTGGTTGCTAGGGAGATAGCACAAAAATCGGTATGTGGTGATTGATCATTTCATGATTTCCCCCTTCATACATACTGTAAGATATACCTTGCCCTCAGATTGCTGTCTCAGCAAATTGTTTCTCTGGATGGAGTAATTCCTATAAATTTCATAATATGAAGCACAAAGGAAAATAAAATGAGAATGTTGAATTTCATGGAGAATTTTGGGATCCGTGCTTACCTACATGAGAAGTAATAATCTTTTCTGTATGTTTGAAAAAAGAAGATTACTAAAGTTTTTCATATGGCAATAAATAAAGTGAAGTTCAATGCTATTGCACTAGTTCCACAATTAATATGGTCTTCTTGACTTCCCTGTGGGACAACAATTATAATAGCTTCTTCAATGTGATTTGACATGCTGCAGGGATTGGATTATGCAATGATGACGGGAGGTGATGTTGCACCATTGGGTGTACAGGCTGTCACCAAAATCCATGAGATATTTGATTGGGCTAAGAATTCAAAGAAAGGTTTACTTCTTTTTATTGATGAAGCTGATGCTTTTCTATGCGAGTAAGTTACTATTTCCTTGGCATGTGTCAAGTTTTCAGGTGGAATTGCAATCTGCATTATGCTATCGAATGAGTTCGTTCTGGTGACCAAGTTAATCATTGTGGTGTTGATTTCATTGATGCAGGCGTAACAGTATACATATGAGTGAAGCACAACGGAGTGCTTTGAATGCATTGCTCTTTCGAACTGGGGATCAGTCGAGAGATATAGTTCTCGTGCTTGCCACGAATCGGCCAGGGGATCTTGACAGTGCTATCACCGACCGCATTGATGAGGTGATTGAGTTCCCACTTCCCGGGGAGGAAGAACGATTCCAACTTTTGAAGCTTTATTTAAACAAGTACCTTTCTGATGAAAGTGAAGGTACATCTAAGTTGGGTGCTTTGTTCAATAAAAAACCACAGAAGATAACTATAAAAGATTTGTCAGAAGATGTGATCCGAGAGGCGGCCAAAATGACGGAAGGTTTCTCTGGCCGTGAGATAGCAAAACTTGTGGCTAGCATCCAGGCAGCCGTCTATGGGCGGCCAGACTGTGTATTGGATTCTCAGTTGTTTAAGGAAATAGTAAACTACAAGGTTGACGAGCATCAACAGAGAATAAAATTGGCAGCTGAAGGTGGTTTGCCATCTTAGCTTGGGTATTTACTCCTAAGATTTTTACTTGCAGGAAGGATAGCTAAGGCCTTCTTTCCTTGACACCACATCTTTCAGAGTGATAGTGTCAATAAGATTATTGATTGACCGAATGCTATTAGATTCATTGCAAATAACCTGGTTGTGTTTTCGTGTTATTCTCAATTCATCTTTGCATTCCTGTTGATATTGCAATGTTAGAGAAATTTGTTATCCTACATATCCGTAGTTCTGTATTGTTACATGGCTGATTCGAGCTAGACACGATGAAAACTTGTCTGAATTTTGGATTGTGCTTGGCCCGGCCATTCTCTAAAACATCTTGAAGACCATAATTTCCTCAAAAAGACAGCGAAAATACCAAGAAAGTTAAAAGGCAAAGTAAAAAGATAAAGCCAAAAGGCTATTTGGTTGGGTGGGTTTAAGATTTAAAAACACACGTTCCTTCCTCAATGTTGGGCCATAAAAGAAGCGAACCCCGTGCAACGGAATAATGCGATGCTGACAACAGTACCGTTGCTCTAATAACACGTGGCATGATTGCAGCATTTCTTCTTCCCTAAACGGCCTCCTAGTCAGCCACGCTGCCCATTGCAATGCCACGTTTCAAAATCGACGGTTTTTTCTTCCTCCTTTATGATCTTTTCACTCCTGTACAAACCAAAAGATTTTGAGAAATAGCCAACACAATATTATATATAGGATCTTCAAATTTCTGGTTATTGATCTTGTTTTTGTTACTGCAACACCTTTTTTTCCTAAGAAACAAACAATATTCTTAGAGAGACAAGGAAGATGGAGACGAAGAAACTGATGGAGATGATGGTAATGGTGCTAATGGTGGGGGTTTGCTGGGGATGGCTAGACGAGGCAAAGGAGAGAGTGAATATTGGAGCAGAGAATGCCAAAATCAAAGCAGAAAAAGTCAAGCAAGGTGCTGCTGAAGCCATGCAAGACGCCGAGCAATCCTGGTCTGATTCGGGTTTTGACAAGTTCCCAGAGTAATGATCAAAAATCAACTTCACCCGTACTACTTTGCAAAAAAAAAAAAAAGCATATATAATCTCTTTATATTATATTCATTTAAGACTATTATTATTATTATTATTATGTAGGCCAATTCTATAAAGTAAGTTTATTATGTAGGCCAATTCTATAAAGTTTATTAAACAATGTTTGTCTCCTTTTGCATTTACTTGTTGGCCTTTGTTTCATTTTGCTAGGAATTAATGTGGTTATTTTTATCAGTGGCTGGGTTGTGCTATATTGCTTGTTCTGAAAGTGTGAAAGAATTTAATTTCTTGACATTGTTGGATTTTTATGTTAAAATATTGGTGTATACGCTTGAGTGAATGAACATAATTGAAATATGCATCTGAAAAGTATATATATATATATATATATATATATATATATATTCTTTGTATAAACTTTAGTAATAATGATTTTACTTAAAATTTATTTTTTTTATCTATTTTATAGATGTTGACTGAAGAAAGCTGTAACAGAGATTTATGTATTATTATATGTCCTAGAACACAAACTATAGTGATATATCTACTATTAATATTACTTTCATGTGCTTTCGTGGAGAATCACTTATGCCATTTGCAAAAATGGAAAATGACATGGGTGCCGTTGGGGTAAATTATTAGCTTGATGTTAGTGCGTCGTTGAAATTAGGGTTTTGGTTGGTTTGGTTGAGGCTTTCTTTATTATTTTTCCTTTTAAATGCGTCCATGAATCAACTAATTTACTGATATTGATTAACTAATTATAGTCCATAATTTCCTCTTTTTCTTAATTTTATCTATTAAGGTCGTGTTTGGGTGGATAGGATGGTATGAATTCTATATTATGTTTGGTTTGTATTTAATTGAAAGAGATAGGATTACAAGGAGGATTATCATCCTCTTGATATAGGATGATTCAATCCTCTCAAAGTGGAGAGGATTATTTCTAATCTATGGGATTAAATTTACATGTTCTATCATACCTTTAAAAATTACATCAATAATTTAAATTGTATAAACTTTGAGGAAGGATAATTTTGATCAACAAATCAATTATCCTATATTAATTCTTGCATACATCAAACATAAGATAGGATAACATTTTTTAATCTAATTCTTTTCATAATATCGTCTTATCCTATCCTATCATAATCTTGTGTACCAAACATGACCTAATTGGGTTATATATAGGAAACATATTTCTCTCCTATCTCTTTGTGCTCCTCAATTCAATTAATAGACTTGAACTTAAAAACTAAAATTTCTAAATAATGGAAGGAGAGAAACTACAAGATCATAATTTGTCTCTTGTCCATGATTAAGTTGACTATGTTATGAACAAATTAGACACCTAAAATGTTACACTATTAGGATTGGTTAGGACAGTAGGAGATCCGTTTAGCTAATAAATTGCGTTAAATATGGGGTGTGTGTCTTACAATGGCAATGATTCTGCTAGGGTTGTGGGACTTGAATATGGGAATGCAAGAGAGGCGGCTAAATATATGATGGATAGAGTTGGAGATGCTACCTCAAGGACCACGGATACAATTAATTCTGCCGCCTTTGGTAACTATTAATTCATCTTATGTCTTTCCTATTAATATGATGTCAAGCCAAAGTAGGTTCTTCTAATTATGAGGATTTATTGTTCGTTTTTGGTATGTATGATATATTACTTCTGTCCTTTCAGAAGCATCAAACTATGCTGCCAACAAAGCTAGGGATGAAGCAAACGTGGCTTACGAGGAGTTCGGTGATGTATTTGATAATGCTAACCAGAAGCTTAACATGGCTGCTTATGTGGCTTCAGATCAGGTTGATAATGCTACAGAGACAATGGCAGGAGCAATGGCCTATGGGAAAGACAAAGCAGCCGATGCCTATGACAAAGCTTGGCAGAAGATAAGAATGGCTTCGAATAAGGCCTATGATGCCAAAGAGAAAATTGCAGATGCCATGGATGGAAGAGATAAAGCAGCTAATACCTCTGATCAAGCCACACAGAAGTTTGAGATGGCTTCAAATGTGGCTTCTGATAAAGCTTATGATGCCAAAGAAACAATGAAAGGAGCTATGCAATATGTAAGAGATAAAGCAGTCGATGCTTATTATGATGGCAGTCAAAAAATGAATACAGCTTCCAATGATGTCTATGATGTCAAAGACAATATGGCTGGAGCAGTAAATTTTGGAAGTGACAAAGCATCAAATGCCTATGATGAAGCTAAAGAGATGGCAGCAGGATTAATGGGGTATGGAAGAGATAGAGTTTCCAATGCCTATGATGAAGCTAAGCATAAGGTAGGAGAAACATATGCATCAGCCAAGGAGACCATGAATGAAGAGGCTAAGGCTAAGTATGAGGCTGCCAAAGAGAAGGCTTCCCAGGCTGTGGGTGATCTTGGAGCTAAGATGAGAGGGAATACTGCAGAGCTTTGAGTGGAGCTACCTTTCTACTTGCTGACTTTGTGAAGCTATCTGTGAGTTACTGTTATTATTTCTTTTCTGTTCTTGAAACATACTCTCTGGTATTTTTGGTCTTTTACTGGTATTTGAGGAATGTTATTCCTTTCCTTTTATTTCCTCTTATCTTATCTAGAAATATATGCACATGAAGATATAGGCATATAGATCTTGGAGAAACAATTTGTGGATTGTCTATGGCTCATTTTGGTAGAATATTATTTTACCCCATAGCAAATTTCGTGTATTTTTTGTTCAACCCCGTATCAAATTCTAGCGCATAGAGAATATGGGTTGGTAAGTAGACATGTGGTGGGCTTCATGATTAAACATGAATGGATAAAACAAATATATATAAATATTGCTGATTGGGGAATCTGGACTATGAAGTCCATTTACAATGCAAATTATTAAATTTTCTAAATAAAAATTTCATGTATGAGAAATCTCAATATAATCTAAAAAAGACAATAGAGAGTTGATGAACTTGGTATATAGTAGTATTAAGTATAAAAAAGGTAGGATCTAAGATGTAAGCTATAATTAGTTTTTTCATCCAAAATGTAAATATACTGAGGCAAATTACCTTCAAATGAAAAGCATTAATAGTTTGATTTGGTTGAACTAGAGGCATAACAAATTGAAAGGGTTGATGTAATTTTGACTTTTGAACTTAATTAGATGGAGTATTTCTTTTTTTTCCTCTCTAGTCTTTCCCTCATCCTTAATTTTTCCATCTCCATATTTTATCTATCCTTGTTATATTCTACTTAATTAAAAAGATGCTATAAAAGTTATCCTTGTCGTATTCTCCTCAATAAAAAAATGCCATAAAAGTCACCAGAGGTTGATTGAGTTGGAAACGATCAAATATTTTGCTTGTAAAGGTTTAGATAAGGTTTAGGTTCAATGATCAAGTCCTTCATTTGTAAGGTTTAGCTTCTGAGTTTTGGCTGTTAAGAGTCTCCCTTAGTAAACTATGATTTTTGCTGTTAGTAGTCTCCCTTGGTAAACTTCCTTCATTTGTAAGGTTTAGCTTCAATTTTCGCTGTTAGTAGACTATGATTTTTGCTGTTAGTAGGTCTCCCTTAGTAAACTATCGATAAATCCAATTTAAGTTCTCACTAAAACCTATAGCATGCCCGGATCCTCAAATGAGATAGTTTTTTCTCACTGAACTTTTTATTTTAAACCTATAGTATGCCCTGATCCTCAAATGAGATAAGCTTCTTCTCGCCTGAACTTTTTTATTTTCTCACTAAAAAAAGAAAGCCACAAAAACTACTCATCCAGGCATCCTTCTATTTGTTGGATGTCCCTTTCAAGTCAATGGAGTTCATGTGAATTGTTCTTAAATGCCTGTATGAGGCTGTGACCTTCCCCTGTTGATTATCTGTGGCTCTTAGCTGTTCTCCCTACAAGCATATGTGCTAACTTAATAGTTTCCTATTTTTCTCTCCTGTTTTTATTTCTTCATTCGGCTACTTGTCCTTCAAGAATTTACATTGTTGATCAGTGCACATAAATCATCCCTTAATATTTATGAAGATGAATATTTTGAATCCAACCCTAGTTCTCATTAAATTACCAAGGTATATTAGTTTAGTTCTTCGGTTACTTTAATTAACAAGTTCGGTTAGTGTGTGTATATATATATATATATATATATATATATATATATATATATGCGTTTACATTGTTGAGCAGTGCACGTGAACTATCCTTAAAATTTATGAACATGAATTTTGAATCCAACCCTAGTTCTCATTAAATAACCAAGTTATATTAGTTCTTTTGGTTACTTTAATTAACAAGTTCGGTTAGAATATATATATCTTCTGATTTATGTAACTTCTCCTATATATCTTTTCCTTTAACAGTACTGAATTGATGGTTTGAGCTCCCACTCTTCCCCAACCTTTTTCCTGCTTTCTAATGTGTGTGAGGAAGAACAATTCCATGGGATCACTTCTTGTTATTGAGTTGCCAAAAACTGTTATTTAAAAGGGAAAAAGCTCACATGTACTCGCAATAATAACTCAATATCAGCATCTTCCTCATTGGCATTGCCGTGCAATTTCTCAACTTTTTGGTTCCTTCTATACTTTTGATTTGTTATGAATAGCGTACTTCTACCATTTGAAATGCTCCTCTTTTTCAATGCATTTGAACTCTATATATTCATTTATCTACATCTATTATTCAGAAAAAAAAAAAAAAAAGAGAGCAAAGAGATTAGTTTAATATTAAATCACCAGCTTAAGATTTCTTTTAAGGGTATCTGTTTAGATCTAATCTTTCATTGGGAGGTTATAAAGCTCCTCTCACATCTATCTAATGCATTTAAAACTTTATTCTCAAAATTTACCCCACAGAAATGGAAGCCTAATCCTAATTGACAGAGACAAGGAGTTTGGTCGCTAATCAACTAGACTAATCCCTAGTGGGTAGCTTAAGGCTTATCAATCTACTACATATGCAAGTGATTGTCTAACAATTTCCATATTTCAAGCACTCTGCACCGTGAAAGAATCTCTTAACGAGGATAAGCCTTCTTCAGTCTGTAGTTTTGATGGGACCAACCAGTCATATGGTTCTGTTTTAGATGCCGATGTTGCACATGAACATCAAGATAAAAATTAGGACTGCCATGGATAATATATGGCATCGGAACCCAATTATATGTAATCCAAAACAAAAAATTTTCAAATATCGAAACTACAACTTGGCTACAAAAACTCTTAACCATGGAATATAGGATTTATGATGTTTATTAATCATGTCAATATCATAAAACCCGTCAAATTCCGTTTGCCCCGGCTTTAATTCTCGAGGGAAATATAAAGACTTTTATCGTAGGGTTGGAAGCAACCAAAGATACCATGATTAACGGGCCAAATGGAACAGTTGGGGGAAGAAAAAGGATATAAGATCTGCATACATAAAAATTTGATGACATTTTTTGTTCTTTTTCTCTATGGAGAATAGTAATTGTAGTGCGTATATGAAACATTACTTGTTCCACAACACGATTTATGGGTTATGGGTGAGATTCTAACATGTTTTTAGTGGGAAAATAATACACTACTCTTGTGTGTTGACAATGACTCCAAGGCTTGAAAAATTTCAGAATCATTTGTAGAAGATGAAGATTACAGATTGCTTTCATGTTTAATGAGAATCCTGACAAAGTGAGATTCCTAGATGTTTTAGTGGAAGAAGTACTACAATCATTATGTGTTGCCAAAGTTTCTAAGAATTGTGACATGTCAGAAATTATCTGAAATACTAGAAGAATCAAGAAGAAGATTACAGATTTAATGATGTTAAACAAATATTTCTGACAAATAAGGAAAAATCAGTAAATATAACAAAGAGTTCTCAACTATTTTCTCCTTTCTCTCTATTCGGTTATGCACATTTTTAATCTATAAATTATTCTCTAAATCTATCCATTCTCTAAGGACTTGCTACTTTTCAAGTGTTTTGAAGAAAAATCTTTCTTACATTTGCTTTTTCTTCATGGCCTGTTTATTGTTGTGCATCCAAACTTTTAAAACCTGTCTCTTTACTCCCACTTGAGCACAAAACTGCTGCACGTCTTGCTCATCTTGCTTCTGGATTCTCCACCCCAATTTCTCAGCAAATTCCATCATCTTATCTTTTTGCTCTTTACTGAACTTTGTTCTGAATCTCTTCCTTGATGACTGTGGATGTGATGATTGCCCTCCTGCATTAGAATGAAACATATTCAAATCTTCACTTGAGGACTCCGCTGGACCGCCACTACTGCCACCACCAAAGTTTATCATTAGAGGCGCAATTGGCCTAGTAGGAGTACTAGTAGACAATCCAAGGGAAAATCTCTGTTGATGAAGAGGGGTTGGTTGTTGAGGATGAAGCTGCGAAGGAGGAGGATGTACAGTAGCAGTATCTCTTCTTGTATTGTTTTTGTTGGGATTAAAGGTATAATAACAGCTTAGTGTATATTGTGATTCCCCATTAATTTCTTTTCTATGAAAATTCCTGTGACATTCACAGGCTGCACATTTCAAAGCTTCCGGGGTGTCTTCTTCACCGCTCGGCATGAATTCTCCACAGCCATCCACAACATGGCCGCCCATGCTGGCTGCGTGGTTCTTCAAACATTCTCTATATCTAATCAAAGGAGTAGAGCTGATAGTTGTTGATGTCGGACCAGCTACTGGTGAGGGCTCTGATGTTGGAGGTTGTTGCTGTGGTGATTTTAGGCTTGATCTGTTAGCTGTAGCAGTTACTATTGCACTGGTAGTAGTAGCTATTGGAGCCGAAACTGGATCTAGCTCTGGATCTGGATCTCTTCTGGGTTTGTGTATTTGATGGTGCGGATTCAATTCAGGGTGGTAAAGAGATTGGTGATCTAGGGTTTGAGGTGGGTTTGGATTGAGGATTGTTGTGTCACCATGAACAGTTTGATCTCTTCTTCGTTCTCCTACAGCTGAATTTATAGGTACAGAAGAAGAAAAGATTTTTGAGGAAGAATCCCTGTTGAGTTGATTATTATAACTAAAAGAGCTTGGGATCCCCATTTCCTTATCTTGGCCTCTCAGTTCCATTAACTCTGATTTTTCTAATGTAAAACCTTGATCTAAGTCTTGATCTCAGCCACCCTTTATTAGACTAAATATACTAGTCATATGTTTTTTTCAAACCCACCACCACCACCATCATCATCATCATGGTCTTGCTGATTTTTTCTTAAACTAGGAGAAAAAAACTCTCCCTGTAACCTTTAGAACCCTAATTCACCACCATCTACTCACTTAATCAAACAAAATTATTCCCTACTCTCTTATTCTGACTTTGACGTTTTAGTGCTAAACCCATCAAGTCATCTCACTAATTTCCCATATACTGTTCCTGAAGTCGTAAGCAAGTGCTTGAGCGGTGTGCAGACAAAAGAAAATTTCGAGGGACCAAAAAAGAGATTATATTATATATATATATATATATATGTATCGATACATACATAGAAAACCATAAAAAGTGATAAAATAGATATGGAAGCTTAAACAGGAAATGGGACTATATTATGGGGCCCTCAGCTGGTGCTAAAGTTTAACAAAGAACTTAACTTGATGAATTAAATTGACAACTGGTCTGTTTCTGATGTAAGAATTCTCTAGCATGATGTTAGGACCAAAACCAATGCAAGAAAGGTTGTTTTAGCATAGATTAAGGAAGGCAAATAAACTTGAATCTTAAACACTGTAAAAAGCAAAGAAAGATGAAAGGAGAAGAGGTTAAAAAAGGAGGGATAGAGAAGTGTAAGGGAGTTTTGTTTCCTACTCACCCATCCAAGCCCATAAAATCCATCCATCAAAGGAACAGGTGGTTTGTTTTGTACTCAAAAACCAGTGATGAGTATTAGAGACTGGCGGCGACACTGAGAGATCTAGTACTCTTGCAGAACAACCTACAAGGCCATGTTAGTTCTCTCTCAGAGCCTGCATACTGGTCCAGCTCCTAATTATTGCCTCTCCCTAACACTTTGTTTTCCGTTTGCGACTATTATTTTTTTCTCCTCTTTGCAGTCTCTGCAAGTCTAAGTAAAACCCAAAAAATGAACAAGCTGAAGTACGTTAATGCGCAGGACAGTAGGCAAGGACGAGAAAAAAAAACACATTTCTGGTATGTCTTGAGAATTGACGTTGGCTTGTTCGCCCGGAAACTTCCTACAACCTCAAGACAGTTTTGATCAGGTCTTTGAGATTGGTAACATCATCAGACACAAAACCTTAATTACAGAATCTAATAAACATGGGCTTAAGCCTAAGATGATCAGCAAAAGGAAGAGAAAACAGAAGAGACAGAGAGAGAGAGAGAGAGAGAGAGAGAGGGAGAGAGGACCCCGCCATCCTCATCTTTTGTGGGCTGCAGGAATTAAAGTTCAAGAATACTGGCCCACAGCACTGCAATTGTCCTTTTAGTGTGCGTCAGATTCTTTTATCTCTCTTTTCTCTCCAAGACTGTCTCCACTTGAAGCCTGTTTTTTCTTTAGGGTGCCCTGGAGCAATTTTATTTTTCTCTCCAACTCTACTAGTATTTCCTTACCAATTGTTTTGGCCACTCCATTTTCTTAATGTTCTTTTTGCCAGGATTTGGTTTTTTCAGTTGTCAAAAACTAAATTATCATACCTGAAACTAAAAATTCAGCTTTCTATTGCCTTCTACACTTTGTTTTGTTGGGATGGCATCTTTATTGGCCTCACTTTCTCCATCAGACATCGTCTTTGTGCTTGTATCTTGCTTTGTTTTCTTGGTGCTAAGAGTGTTACACGTTAGCCAATGCAAAGAGATAGCTTTTAATTGATCTGCACTGTGTTATTTGACTCATTCCCACTTCTTTTTGGGCCATGCTTTTCTTTACTTACGATCATCCATCACATTAGATAACCTATTCCCAAACTGATTTCGGCCATTTAAACCCTCTTAATTCCCCTTTTTTGGGTCAATATTCAATCTTTTCTTGATTGAAAAGGGTCAATAGTCATAAAGACTGGTTTTAAATAAAAGCTGATATTCACATAATTACCTATATGCACTAAATCAAGATACTATCAACTCTTAATTTAACATTTTTTTTTAGTATATTTCTTTTGTTCTTTAAGCTCTTAAGCACGGTTCGATGATGACCACCTGTGCGGTGAGGAGTCATTCCTCCCGTATTTGGACCCAAAAAAGGAGCCAAGTGCCAATGACATTTTGACCGTCATTGGAACACTAGTGCTGGGCGAATGAAATCTCCACGGCACAGTCGATCTCAATGTCTCAGCTTAATCCCAATTCAGTTTTTTCTCTTCAAACTAATTTGAATTTGCACTACCTTGTTAGTTAAAAAGAGAGATGAAAAAAAAAAAAGCTAGTATGAGTTTTCTTAACCACCGTCCAGTCGTCAGGGCCCAGCAGAACACTCGTCTCGTCATTTCCCAAACGGGATTGCTCATCATTTGCATTGCATGTTGCAAAGAAATAAAAAATTATACATAAATTTGATAAGATTTTTAATATAAATTGAATATAAATTTAAAACAAACACAAAAAATTACTTTGTATTTGATATAAAAACATAAATTATGATATAATTATATTTTATACATATTTAATAAAAATAAATACATATATATCACTTACCAAATTTATTCACGTGTGTCTGCATAATCTTTCTGTCTTAAAATTAGTATTTAATTAAGAAAACTAATGGCTAGGGTTTAAGATTGGAAGAATATATCGTGGGCTACTTATCTCTGAAAATTAAATTATTTTATGTAGGGGGCACCTTCTTTTATGAGCTCGGAGGGGAACAATTTCCAAGTAGGGATAATTAGATTAATTAAAAGAATCAAGATCAGTTATAAAACTAATCTTCACCACATGTCTTGTTTATTGTTGTAATTCAATAATCTTAGACACGTGGAACAGCCCAGCCAGGTGTCTCTAGGACCTTCTCCCTTGGGATCTCTCAAGCTTTTTTATTTGCAGTCGTCACTCTTCCAGTAAAAATTTGTGTGGTCACATAGCTAGGGTTTTGATTGTTTATCATAATTGGCACATATAATAGTTCAATGCTTCCTAGCTTTGCATGTGTTTTAACAGGAACCTTTCCTAATTTGACTTCGCTCATATAATGGACCACCATGTTCTGACCACCTGATTTTCCAGAATTTTTTAAAATTTTTTTATTGATATAAAAAAATTATAATCATATTCAAAAAATGGTGCCCAACTTTTGCAAATTGCAAGCAGATCCTAAATTCCTAACCCGTTTGCGTGAATTTCATTTTAGATTTATGAAAGCAAAAATACCATTGGATCGCAAGTTAAATTGTAGAATAAAAAACTTGGGTATGAAATATTCAGAGATTGATTATTAAAGTAGAGTCGTTGTTGGTAATGAATCAAAACTTTTTCATAAAAATTAAAACGACAAGATTAAACGTATTTTTAAAGAAGTTAATTTATAAGCTAATGATTAGCTAGGCTTTCAAATAGAAATCATTGTGATGGCTAATCCTTCACTGGAGTTATGAAGTTTATATAAAAAGATAATTTAGAATTAGTAAGGCCTAAAGTATATAGAGTGCGTGTGGTTCAAATCACTCTTTTGCAAAGAGAAAAAAACAAAAAGTATTAATCCTGATTTTAAGTTGGAACATTTAAAAATGTATAGTACAATATCTATAAGCCTAGTTTGAACATATTTTTTGGCCATAGTTCGAACTTTAAACATCATTTCAAGTAACTTTTAAAATAAAATTGATCACTTTTTCCTTTTTTTTTAAACGTTCTGACACCAAAACCAATAAATTCACAAAATTTGTTGTCTCACTCTATATACATTTTAAATGCATGTACGTTCGAATAAACCATTGGATTTCATAAAAAAACCCACTTTTTTTTTTCTTTGAACATAATCCAAAAATTTCTATAGAATGTTTGAGTTGAATGCTAATTATCAATCATTACATTGAACGAGACATATTGTACTCTTATATCTTTCAATTTATGCTCAAACATATATAGTTTATAATTCAAACATAAGATCAAAGCATTTTAATCCGTATTCAAAATTAAGCATCCTTTTAGCATAATATCGAGTTGGTAGCTTTACTTTTATAGAACCATGCATTTCGCTATGGTAACCTACTTCAGTATTCTTTGATACAATAATTTTTTTTTTTGTTGAGTGGATTAATGGTATGTTTACTACTTTACAAGAATTCTAAAATAAAGAATCTATAATATTGTGATAACTATAGAGTATACTAACTTGTATAATTGCAAACATGATATAAAGGATAAAAATAACTTTTAAAAATAAGATGAGAATGGAAAGAAGTAGCCTAAGGAGAGGAAGTTTAAAAATGCTAAAAATGTAGTATTTCATTATAAAAGATTTTACAATGAAACTAGATCTACGTTCATAAGGAATGAGTTACAAGCTTATTATAGAAAAGAAAAAGCAAATTAATAGGACATGAAATGACCTAAAAAGATCTATTACTATGATATAAAGTAATACGAACAAAATAATAGTAAGGTAACTTTAATAAAGTAACTTTAATAAAGAAAGAATCAGATTCTTTTCTTTTTATCGAAGTCACTTTAATAAAGTTGACATGACTTTAATATAAAGTAAAGATAAAGTAGACATGATATAAGCTAACATCTAACATCTTCATACAAAGTTGATATGATGTTGGCATGTCACAAAGTTGACTTGAGGTGACATTATTTGTCTTGGAGTTGATGTAGAGGAGTTTTAACGCTTGAATGCATGCACACTAAACAAAATAAACAAAGTTACACACATAATTATACATAACTTGGAATGGAGTAAGTAAGATAACATGGAATCTTCATTCTTCGAATTGGTCATGGAATTGACTGGATAGGTGCTGATTAACCCAATCAAATAGTTCTTGTTTAATTTTTTTTAGATCTTTTTTCTGGGGTTTCAACCTTTCTTGGTCATAAAGCTTTAATTCAAATCTTTCTTTTATCTATGTGATGTCTTTTGAATCTTGCCAATATGGATTCACAAGAAGTTGCATCAGCTCTGTAAAACCTAAAAGATTAAAATTTATGAGTCTTTGTGACAAATCACTCCACCGATTTGTCCAAGAAAGTGTTGAGATCCACTTATCAAGATGACTATGCAATTCTTAGATGTATTATGGAGGTACCACCACCATGGTTTTTTTTTTTTAAGGAAAGCAATTCCTCATAATCTTAAGAATGTATTCCTTGTTGATTTTACAGAGCTTTTTAAGTAAGAGTAAAAATTCTTCATGATATAATAACAATCCTTTATATAGAGAGTAAAGGTTAAAGGAATTAAATATCTGAATATACCTTAAAGTTAATTGTACTATCATCATTCATCTGGCATGATTTGTGAAATATTAAAATGACATAATAACATGAAGAAATATGTCTGATCTGTGTGGTGCATTGGAATTATTAGTGTAGAGGCTTAAACCATTCAAAAATCTTGAGTTGTGGTTGACCTAGGAACCTATAGGAGATTTTTTTGCTCAACTGAAAGAGTTCACAATGGAGATTTGACACATTAAATTCAATGACAATGGTGTAAACTTGACAAAGGTACCATAAAAGGATAACGACTTTTTTGTATAGGCGATCTAGGTAAGGTATTTAAAATAAGTGGAGAAAAAGGTGTTGTAGATATAGGCCAATTGGTTTAAGTCTGTGGTCAACATAAGCTCATATAAGAACAAGTTGGATATTGTAAATGAGTTCTTTTACTTTACTGTCAAAAGTCTTTTATTATTTGTTGGATATCTAAAAAGAGAATTTTCACTTGGATGTTTGAGATTGAAGATGAAGGCTAGACGAATGGTGAAGGATTCATCATTACAATGATTGGAATGATTTTTAAAGTATGAGAAGAAGGTTTAGATAAAAACATTATCTTTTTCTTTTATATGCTTTGTAATGAAGGAATACTTCAAAAATCATTGTAAAAGTCTTAGCAAATGTGCATTTGGCATCTACTTTTTCTTAAAATTCATCATCTATTAAAAGGCTTTAGTCTGCAAGATTGTTTGCCATTTAAGGGAATCTTCAAGGTTAGAATAGACTTTGACTTGACCTCAAGCATATTTATTGCATGTGTTTGTTTCTAAGACCATCTAAAAGGTTATTTCTTTAACATTTGTCTAAAAGATGAGTTATATGAGCATGATCTGGAAGAAATTTATTCATGTAGTTTACTATCCCAAGAAATTGTTAAATCTATCTCTTCGAAAAATTATCATCTAAGAAGTTTTCAAGTGCCTGTGCAATATAGGGTTGTG